ACAATGGGTGGAAACTAATCAAGGAGAGAAGCAACCAGTGTTGGGATTTGAATAATTAAACAATCGGTTCTCTGCCCTAATGACCAGCTGGGTAGGTGGGACTCGTTGATCATGTGACTGGGTGGGTGTGGCCAACTCAATGTCACTCATGTTGATGGGCGCTTTGCCTTAGCTGTTACAATATAATAAGGGTTAACCAGAGAGGCAGTTTCTGTAAGCAGGGCAATAAAGATTAGGCTAGAAACAACCCCAGAATGTTTCCTTCCTGCCTTCCTTACAGGATTAGCCCAATAAAGTGGAACAAAAACAAAATGAGATTTCTTCCAACCACTGGTTCTCCGAACTGCTTAGAAGGTTAACAACCGGTTCTCCCAAATAGGTGGGAACTGGCTGAATCCCACAACTGTCTGAATATTGGGTGAATGCGAATTGCTAGAGTATAACTTTTTTTTAAAAAAAAATGAGAAAATACAAATTACACAGCTAGAAACAATCACAATATTATATAGCAAAAGTTGTTTTCTAAGGTGATTTTCATCATCAGACTTGTACCTTTTTGCATGCTATAGCAATTTGATGGCCACAGAGATAGTTTATTATAACTGATAGCCTTTATTAAAATAACAAACAATGTTTCTCAGATAATATTTTTTGCCGAATTCGAAACACTGGTCAATTTCTGCAGATAAATATCAATAATGCTTTCATTTAAGACTAATCTCTTCTATAACTTAATTATACTGAAAATTTCAACCTTGTCTGAATTATGTCATCTACTAATGAATGACTAATTTTGAATTGTCTTTAAGGACTTCAAAAGAGGACCCTTAAGAATTTAATTTAGGAAATACCATTGATTGGGCCATGAGTTCATGCTAAATATATGCTATTGATTCAAAATCTGCTACTACTATTTGACATCTGTTTTGTTATAACTTTTTCTTTTGAAGTCACTAATAACCTTATTTTAGCATGTTTATTTCAGCTTATTCTTAAGAAGGCAAACCACTTACACCTGTAGCCTTTCTGTAGCCCTGAGTTCTCCTAAGGTAGAAAAAAGCATACTGTGGGCTTGTAGCAAAAATGAGAAGAAGTGAAAGATATTTGAAATATGAATTGAGAAGATATGACTTCCTCACTGGTTTTCTTTCCTCTACTGACTTGTAAGTAAAATGCTTTGATTAAATATAAACAAATTTTGGAAAGAGTTATTTTTAAAACTTCAAGGCAATGGTTTATACATTTCCTTTTAGAGACTCCTTCAGACTTCAGACTTGCATTTCTTTTAGATAATGTTAAACCATTTATTAGATTAATCTAGATTTACAAGACTTAATATAGATTTTTTGTTTAATACTATATGTTTATTTACATGCTTTATATTTTAAATGTGTACGAATGTTTTTTGAATAAATATGTTTTGAAGATATTAGAATATGCAGAATGTTAGCCTATCTCACTTTTAGAAATGCTAAAAAGAGAATTTTCAAATGTGCTCTCGAATTTGTCTCTGAATTGAAAACAAATTGCTGTTGATAACTTTGGGTTTTTGCAATATTTATTTATAATCTATGTGGAAAGAAATCATGAAGCCAGGAAAAAAAATAGTACATGCCTATTTAGAGCTCTTAAAAAATCAAAGTCTCATCTAAATTTTGAGAAGTATTTTCTTGTCCAACAGAAAAGTTTTCATAAGATATGTCTTTCTTCCATGCATGATATTACAGTTGTTTATTTTAGCTTAAACTTATGATCAAAAACTATTTTACTGGATTAAAATAGCTTTTTTTCCTTGTGAATAATTCATCTCTGTCTGTATTCTAGAGAGATTCTATATAGTGCTTTAATTTTATGGCAACTGATTATATAATCCTTCCCCTCCAGACATTTGCTTTCTTTCAAATACCTTTCCAAGGTGGTTTTGCTCATTTTGCTTATTTTTTAGTATCTTACTCTAAACTTTAGCCAAGAAAAACTCCCATGGCTACTTCCAAATTATTACAAGGAAGTCTCTGCTTCAGTCTTAACAAAGTAAAAATGATGAATGTACATGGAAGAAAGGAGAAAGAGAGAGAATGAGAGAAGGAAAAACCACATCTTGGTAGATTTCATACGAATGTCTTTGTAAGCTGTTACAAATAAGCTCTTTCAGGTGATTTCAGGAAAATATACAGCTTGTTTAAAGAATTGCAGATAGATAACTGTTGTGGCCCGGCAGGAGCCGTTGGAGCTGCCATCAGACTCCAACAGCGAGGGGTCTTATGAGTCGGCCTTGGAGGAGGTGGAGGACCCTGGACAGGGTGTCGACTCTGAGCAGGGTGAGGAGAGACTGCTCGGCCACCAGGTGGTGGCAGAGACTTGGATCAGAGGGAGTGTTCAGGAAAATACTTGTGAGTTGTTTCAGGATGCATCCCATTGAAGGGCTACTCAATGGAAGGAACAACTGAGTAATTGTAAGAGATGATTGCGCTTAGCTGATGCTGATTAAGATCTTCTCCTGATTATAAAAGAGACTGTTTATGCCACGCCCTGTTTGCAGGAGTCAACATTCACGTTCAGGATCCAGAGAAACCAACTTGGAGAAGTGGTTTGCTATGAGAGTTTATTTGCATTGCCTAGGTTTGTGAGACTTACTGCCAGAGGGCTTATCTCTTTGTTTATTTTGGGCTTGCAGCCAACAAGAGTCTGGACTGATTAAAAGTATTCTTATTTACGTTTGCTTGTGGCTTTCGTTTCTGNCACACACACACACACACACACACACACACACACACAAAACAGCAGATAAGGCTTTTCTTTGTTAAAAATGCTTTCAAACATTAAAAATCATCTATTAACAGATATGTTTGCTTCAACCACTGCATGTTTATGGCATTTCATTATACTGAACCTCTATGGATAAGATAGTTTTAAAAAGAAGATTCCTGCTAGATAGTGAGTATAGGAGTTTTTTATGGTTCATTCAGCAACATACTTCCGATTATTCTGAGACTACTCAAGGAGTTTATTATTATTATTATTCAGTGAATAATATGGTTTTGCCTGTAGTCCAGGCATAAACAAGTTTAATCTATTTTAAAAAAATTAAATAACTACTTCAACAATACCAAAAGGCTATATTGATATTGTATGCCTCCCCCTTCCCCATCGCCCATAGCTTTTAAGCAAAAATTAGTAAATGCACATGAATATCAATGCAGAAGAAAACAAAGAGATAAATTATTCAAGGAGCTGGAGGAAATATTATAATTTATTTAAATATTTCAAGCTCAAGACATTTGTCTGAAACTGGTTGGCTTTGTACTTGGTCTTTGTACTATACAATAAATGAGCAATAACTTGGAGGAGTGTTTTAAAAGGTGATTGGGACTGCAATTGAAGTTCTCCATAGATCCAGGAACTTTGCTAGCTTTTGTTTCTATCTGCAACATTGCAGTGGCTGATTCCAAAACCCCACTGAACCACACAAGAAGTATGGTGGGGGAGGGAAGGGAAAGGGAGGATGTCAAGAAAATACTGTTGACATTCCAAAAAATGCAACATTATAGTTTCCTTGATTTTTGCCTTATTCTGAAAAAAAAAATGCTCTATTTCAACAACATATATTCATTTTACCTTCAACTGAGTAGTTAGAGTACAGTGCTGCAGGCTACTTTTGTTGATTGTCAGCTGCCTGCAATTTGGCAGTTCAAATCTCACCAGGCTCAAGGTTGACTCATCCTTCCATCCTTCTGAGGTGGGTAAAATGAGGACCCAGATTGGTGGTGGCACTATGCTGACTCTGTAAACCTTTAGAGAGGGCTGTAAAGC